GAACCTTAATGTGTGGTTACCTTACCTGAGATACCTTAAAAGGGGCCTGTTCTTGAGCCAGTGTCTAGAACACATCCTATGAAAACCAGGATCCACAAGTTGTGTAAAGTTTGGAGTCCAAAATCACTTGGCATTTAGAAGGCTTGCCCTAGAATGTGGTGTTTCAGTTATTGCAGTGGGAAGGGAGTAGTTTGGAGATGGAGCATAAGAAAGAGCCTGTATCAGGGAAATACTTTCTCCAGAAGCTGATTCTAGTATAATCTACTCCTATTAACTTCACTGGGAAATATATTTGCATAGAACCTCTGAACAAAAGGCTACATCAGGCTTAGGCTGAAGTTATACATTGCATTTAGACCATACTAAATCTGTGGAATGTTAACCAATTTTAAAAACAGAATGTGCTGTAAGCAGTTACACATTATGAGTTAATACTGTTCCTTGCCTGCATAACTCTGACTTGCCACTGGAGGGCTGGTGAGCAGGGCCACGAGAGCCAAGACACCTAGGGTCTATCCCCATTCTGAGGATGCAAGGCAGCAGTGCATCCTGGGGTGCTGGAGGACTCATTTTATCTCTGTGGAGCAGACTGAATTTACCTAAAATTTTCTAAGTAGCATGGGCCAGAGTTAACCCTCTCCTGAAGTGGCATAATGTTGAGATACTCAGAAGGCACTTAACTAGAATTAATGAGTTTTAACATGTGGATGCTCACATTTTAAGTGTCCTTAGTATGATCTAAGTTTAACATGCACTTTGAGGGTAAATCAATGGCAAAAAGAGTGATGTTATTGCTAAACATAAACAGGTGAATAGTGAGTAGGAGCTGGGAGGTAATTTTACTTCTGTATACCACACTGGTGGATGAACACTAGAATACTGTATACTGAACTAGTGTCCACACGTTAAAAAGGATATTGAACCACTGGAGACAATATAGAAAAGAGCAACAAAAATTATTTGAGGGGTGGAGAAATCACCTTACAGAGAGAGACTCAGAGGGTGCCTCTACACGTGCTCAGTAAAACATCACCATCTACACGTGTGGCAGTTAGGTCAGTGTAGACTTATTTACTACACTCTCAGATAGTACTTGTGTCAGATGGGGCTATCTGAAGGTGGAATAAATTACTGTGCTTATGTGCATGTGTAGATGGTGATGTCAGGATTAGTTTACTCCGGCTCAAATTGTACCAAAGTTTATTCAGTCGGATTAATTGCATGTGTAGACATGCCAAGAGAATTCAATCAGAAAAAAAGTCTATGAGTGGCTTATTTATTATGTAAGTACCCTAATGACAAGAAAATACCATGCATGAAATGGTGTTTTAATATAATACAGAAAGGCATAACAAGATCAAAGGCTAAAAGTTGAAGCAAGATAAATTTAAATTTTAAAGTAGGCACAATTTTTTTTTAAGTAACGACAATCACCCAGTGGAACAAAATCCCTAAGGAAGTGATGGATTCTCCATCTCTTAATGTCTTTAACTCAAGATTAGATGCCTTTTGGAAAGATATGCCTTAGCCAAAAACAAGTTATGTTTTATTCGGACATAATTTACTTGGCTCAATACAGGGGGCAACGTCACTGAAATGTTATTCCCTGTGCTAAATGACAGGTTAGACTTGATGAGCTCATGTCACATCTGGCCTTAAAAACTACAAGTCCAGAAAACAAGATTTGCATGTCACTGGAGAAGAATCATGTCACGGGATGGGGTCCTTAAGGATGGCCGTGTTCTCCTAAAGCCCCTTGACCATGCCAATGTGGCCCGATGGGCACCCTCAGTTCTTGCTCACCACGTCTTTGATGAAAAATATGAAAATAGGGAAGCTGCCTTTAAGTCCTCTTGGACACAGTTTGATGGACTTACTGAACCCTGTGAGTTCCCAGATCCCTTGTGGGTCTCATTCCACAATGGGTGTTGCGGGGCACCCTAGCCTTATGGGCTATATGCATGGCTCCAACTACCCCTTTACCACGCCCTAAGCCTCACAGATGGTGTTGGCGTTGTCTTGCCTTGACCTCATTATAATTTGGCCCCTTGTCCCCACTGGGCTCTCCACAGCCCTGTCTCTGCGCCCTCTCTGGCACCAGGGTCTCTGCACCCCAAATGCCATGCCCTCTCTGGTGCCAGGGTCTCTGCACCCCAAATGCCATGCCCTCCCTGGTGCGAGGGTTTCTGCACCCCAAATGCCACGCCCTTTCTGGCACCGGGGTCTCTGCACCCTCAAAAGCCACGCCTCTGGTGCTGGGGTTTCTGCGCCCCCGAATGCCACGCTGTCTCTGGTGCTGGGGTCTATGCCCCCAGCAAATGCTGCACTCTCTCTGGCGCCAGGGTCTCCGCGCCCCAAATGCCGCGCCCTCTCTGGCGCCGGGGTCTATGCCCCCATCAAATGCTGCACCCTCTCTGGCACCAGGGTCTCCACTCTGTAGTGGGCCCCCAATGAGGCCTCCTTCTTCCCCAAATAGCCTCACCCAAACCACCGGTCTTCTAAAACTACAAACAAAACATAAGCCCCTGGGCTATAACTTAACATAGGCTACCAAAGGTGTGCTCTGCCCTTTTACCATTACCCAGAGCAGAGGTTAGTCAGGCCTCTTTCCTTTCTCATTCTAAGAGGGCTCCTTCCCCCTTAGCCACCAGCAGAGAACTGCCTCCCTTAGTTTCAGCCTGGGTTTATATGGGCCTAAGGCCCTGCCCCTTCCTGCCAGCTGACCAGGTACAGGTGCTGACTAATTTCCATCTTAGCCGGTTGCCATGGCAACCTGCATCTGGGCTCCTGCCTGGCTCTTTGGGCTCTCCCCAGGCAGTTCCTGCTTTTCCTGCTCTTCTAGGAGCAGGGCACCTTAGTGCCCTGTGACAAATCAGATAAAAGCAGAGTAAAGGAGGATATGCTCTGTAGGGTTGTGTGAAGCTTCAGCCCCTGATTCAGTTTGGCGGAGTTTTGGCCCAATTCGGTGGCCAAATCTCCAAATCGAAATTTAATCAGGAGACCCTTTAATCTCTCTGAATCAAATCGGAACCCTCCGAATCAGTTCGGAGAGATTCAGAAAGATTCAGAGATTTGGACATAGACACAGCTTTAAATGTTTTTTCTACAGACCTCAAGGTACCAGGCGGCTCATCAACACTGTGATGGTGGGGCAGATGGAGCATCCCACAGGAGTGCAGGGGGATCCCCAGAGTGCTCAGCAGTAGACCCGGAAGTGGACCAGAAGCACTTCCAGTCCACTTCCAGATCCACTGGGGAGATGCTGCCTCCCCCTTCCACCCCCACCCCATGCTCCCACTTGGCTCAGCAACTGGTGCCTCCTGAGTCTGGAGGGTCCCCCTGTGACTGATTGCCGAGATGGGGAATGCAGGGGGGGCCCCCAGCGTGCTCCCTGGCAGACCCGGAAGTGGACCAGAAGCATTTCCGGTCCACTTCCAGGTTCGCTGCCAAGCACGTGGGGGGCCCCTGTGCTCCTATGGGATGCTCCATCTGCCCAACCATTGCAGCATTGATGAGCCACCTGGTACCTTGAGGTCTGTAGAAAAAACATTTAAAGCTGTGTCTATGTCCAAATCGTGGATTCTCCGAATCAGCATCAAATCTTCAGATTCAGATTCAGCCGAATCGGGGACAGTGATCCGAATTAACGAATTGAATCACTGTCCTGATTCGGGCCAATCCAAATAGAATACAGCCCATTTCACATACCCCTAATGCTTTGCTAAAAAACTGGAAAAGAATGACTAGGGATAAAATGTAGCGGTAATTTTGCATAGGTGTTTTGAGCTCTCCTAGTATCAATGAGATGGTATGGCATCCACACATGCTACAGGTTAATTTCTACTTTAAAAAATCATACAAAGACAGTTTAAGTAAACTGGTTGTATAATATTAGATTAGATCATTTAGGATGGTTAAGTTCAATCAAATTAAATATCAAATCATAATATGCTATATAGATAACTAGTTTATCTTACTGAGATACAAAAAACACAACTAATGAGTCCAACTTCTTTTACTTTGGCCCAGATCTATATGGAAAACAATAACATCCATGGATAATCTTCGTTACAGTCATAGAAACCATTTACTTTCTACATTGGTTTAGTAGGCTGAGTTTTATCTTCACTCTGAGGTCACTTAGGCAATAACTGGTTGTTCTTGGACCAACTTAGCCAACCTCGTGTGCATGAATCTAAGAAAATACATTACATAACATGCTATAAAGTCACACTGTTTTTCTCCATGCATCAAAGGATGCACACTGAAAATAGAAAATCTACAAACAACTTGAAGCAAACTTGATACAAAACAGATATTTCACTGTGTACAAATAATAGCTCTCAGCTGATAAAAAGAAGGAAATTTTAAGGTTGTGTGCAATGTTGTGAGATCATGTGTTGCAAGAGCACAGAGTTCTACCAGAAGAGTGATTTTGGATCAATAAATTAAGGGACTGGGGTAAATATCTGAGGGCAATGTTTGCTAACTGCTAATGAAACATTTTGTTCTTAACCCCCACCCCTCTTTTCAGCTTTTGTAGTTCCTTAGGGAAACACAATTTTATTCTCCACACCCCCAAAATGCTTCTCTTTAGACCTCTCCCTGTTGGCAAGGAAATGATAAAAAACATAATTAAGCAATGATGACCCTGAAGTGAAATGTGGATTCTTTACAGTATGCAGTGTCCTTCCCATAAGCCATATGTGTTTGTCAGATGTTTATAGAATCTTCATTAACTAAGAGCTTTGCTAGATAACAGAAGCTGAAGCATGGCATCAATGGCTAAGATAAGGGCAAGTGTACAACCAATCTGCTTGACAACTGACAAGAGGCTGTGGTTTGAAGCAGGCTGCAAAAGAGCTCAAGAAAGTGATTTGCAAAGGGCATTTCAGTTGTTTGCCTTCTGTTTCCCTTTCTTCTGCTTCTAATCAGAGGAGTTCCAGTCAACTGGAATAGCCCTGTCTTTTCTTCACCATTGGAAAGTGAGCATAGGGAAAATGAACTATTTGGGGACATTTGCTGCATTGTCCATTTTCAACATCATTGCTTGTTTGACAAGAGGTAAACCCTTGGAAGAAAGAAGCAAGTTATCAGTTACGGAGGATTCTGATATATACTTTGGTGAGCTGGGAGAGATGGAAGGTGAGACGCATCTCAATTTTAAAAGCCTACTGGAGAACATGAAGGCAGATTTACTGAGGAGTTTGAACTTATCTAGGGTTCCTTCACAAGAGAGGACCAAAGAAGAACCACCGCAATTCATGATTGATTTGTACAACAGATATGCCATGGACAAGTCTTCCATCCCTGCATCCAACATTGTGCGGAGCTTCAGTACTGAAGGTATGACATCTTAAATACAGACAGGAATTTACAAGGCAGTCTGTGAGTTGGGTATTAAGTTCCTATTGAAATTCGGGGGAAGCTTCATACCTAACTCCCATAGGCTCCTTAGACCAATCCCAGCCCTGGTCTGTTTTGTAGTTCTTTCTTCTGCTCCTTATTTTCTTTTGGTCTACACGAAACATAATGACCTTTAGTTCTTTTCTTTGATTTCACATTGTACAATCTCTCCTTCTCATACTGAATCAGATGAGGCACCATATCTATAAAATTGAGGGTTACCTTGTTATCTGTCTCAAAGCTAGAGAATTAGGGCTGAGTTGAAAAATTTGGAGCTATACGTGAGGCATCAACATAAAACCATAGGGTTGGAAGGGACCCCATGAATCCCCTCATCCAACCCTCTGCATAGATGCTGGGTATGTTTATTTCTAAACCACCCCAGACAAATGTCTATCTAGCCTCTTAATGAAAAACCTCCAATGCAGGAGTTTACGTAGCTTTCCTAGACAGCTTGTTCTGTTTTCCTTTGTTTCTTACTTTTAGGAAGCCTTTTTTCTAAGATTTAATTTAAAACTGCTTTGCTGCAATAAACCCACTGTCTTGTGTCCTGCCCTCTGTGACAATGGAGAACACTTTTTATCCCTCTTAGGTTAGTGCAGCCTTTCACATTTTTTAAAACTGCTATCCCTTCTTATGGAACAGCTGTTTGCAGTGTTCCTCCCATACTTTATCAGGAGAAAAGCCAAGTGAAAAACATAGCTCGGGATTTGAACTAGGGTCACCACTCCTCGCTCCCAAAGTTCTGGAGTGTTCGGATCAAGGGTTTTGGTTTGGGCCTGTCCCAGCTCAGCGTATCAATAAAGTGTTGTCTGTGGAACATTTAAAAATAATAAAAGCTTAATTATTAGAAGCGATAAAAGGAGTGTTAAATGAATGTAATGATGGAGAAATGAAAAGGCCAAGGAGAATCAAATCTTCTCTAATTACAGAATACACACAGCAACAACACTATAACCATCTTTATATTCCCTTATTAACATGCCTAACCCTGACCCACAAGTATGAGCTGGAGTACAGTTTCCAGGGCCCATTCTCTGCTCAGACTAGAGGTGACCATTTTTTGAACAGGCATGGAAATTTGTTCATAAAAACTGGACTAAAGTTCATCAGTTCATTTTACTTCAACCACCAAACAGCTATCAGATGGTGGGAACTCTTAAACACTGTCAACCTTATCTTCCCAAAGTGCGTAATACCTATAGCCCCCTTGACTTCAGGAAAGATTGCTAGTTCTCTCTGCACTGCTGAAAAAAAAAGCAAACCCACCAATCTAATCAAGACATGAATCAGGGACATGGAAGGGAACAGTTCCTTATCTCTTTACCAATCCTCCCGAAGTAATAAGACCCTGAAGCTTTTGGATTACCTCTTTTCCCTCATTCTCTTCCAATCTAAACTGGTTTTTGTGCTAAGATATTAGAAAGACTTTTTTTTAATGTTACGATTTTATGCTAAGATATTGAAAAGAATTGAAAAGCTGGCACAAGGGCATATATATTTGCTATGTAATTTCTAAGAGGAATTTATCCTAATGCAAAATAATAGAGGCAGAGTTTGTACTTCAGTCTTCCAGTAGATTTTCAGCCTTAGTACAGGTAGTCCTCAGACTTAGGACACAATTGGTTCCTGAAAACTGCATCTTAAGTTGAAACGTTGCAACTCGGAACCAATTTTCTCACAAGAAACAATGTTATAAATGGGAGATTGGTTCCTGAACCAAGGCCCAATACTCTATTTTCACCAAAAATACTCCAGAATTTTGCACTCGATCAATTATAGATGAGTAATATAGCTACATTAATATACTTATATTGTAAATAGCAATCATATTGATTTGGAAGGACTTCTTTGAGGTGACTTTGCTGGACTTTTTGAAGGGCTCTTGGTTGGACTTTTTGAAGGGTTCTTGACTGGAGTCTTCTCAGGAGTCTTGGCTGCCGGTTTTTCTGGAGTCTTGTCTGCTTTCTTAAAGAAAGTGCCCAAGGAAGTTTGGATAGATGTTCTCCAGGGAGATGGGTGACACAGCGAACTTGTTCGCTGGATGCCATTGCAACGGATCAAGCGTTGTAAAGTTGAAACTGAGGTCAGAAAGTTGAAACAGGGTGTCAATTTATAAACGTTGTAAGTGCGAAACGTTGTAACTCGAAACTTTGTAAGTCAAGGACTGCCTGTACTTCAGGAACTCTATCTGTCAGAGGCTCTAAAGGAAGCCACCAAATTTGAAGACTTCCTGGTTGCTCTAGTATTATCTCCATTACTGACCAGTACTTCCTACTTTTTGGCTCTTTATACTCCTAGTCCCAACTCTTTACATGCCCAATGTCATATAATTTTGGTCACCAAAACTTGATCCTAAATATAGTTTGTGTCAGCAGTGACCTCTGTCAGGGTTTCTCACCTTCCTAACATTCAGATGAAGTCAGACCATTTTATTTAAGGCTATTCATTATGGTATAGCTTTAGTTTAACCAGGCCCTTGCAAAGAGTGGGTGTTTCTTCCGAAATGGAATATAAATCTTTCTAACAGCATTAGTTCTCCTCATTGGATTAGCATTATGTCACACTATCTGTTGGAAGTTAAGTAATCACATTTATTAACCTCCTGTTGCAGATGTTGTTTCTTTGACCTCATCAGAAGAAAATCCCTTTCAGAAACACATCTTGCTCTTCAATGTCTCTATCCCACACCATGAAGATGTCACCAGGGCTGAGCTAAGAATCCACATTTCCTGTCATAAGGATGCTGGCTCTCTTTCTAGACTGGAAGGCAACATGGTCATTTATGATATTCTTGAGGGAGACCTCTGGGAAAGCCAAGAAGGCACCAAAGCATTCCTTGTCTCTCAGGATATCCAAGAATGTGGATGGGAAATGTTTGAGGTATCTAGTGCTGTGAAACGATGGGTCAGGACAGACAGAGCAAAGACTAAAAACATGCTTGAGGTTGCTGTTGAGAGTAAAACACTGGGTGATTTCACTTGTGGGAAGCTGGACATCAGTGTTACCCCTGACACTAAAAATCTGCCCTTGTTAATAGTGTTCTCCAATGATCGCAGCAATGGAACCAAGGAAACCAAAGTGGAGCTCCGGGAAATGATTGTTCATGAGCAGGAGAGTGTGATAAAAAAATTAGCAAAGAACAGCACTTTGCCTGCAGAGGAAGAGGATGTACAAGAAAAATCTTTATCCATCACGGGGCTCCGCCAGCCTTCATCCAGAAGCAAAAGAAGCACTGGATCGAACCACTGTCGGAGAACCTCCCTCCGGGTAAACTTCAAAGAGATTGGCTGGGATTCCTGGATCATTGCACCTCAAGATTATGATGCATTTGAATGCAATGGGGGTTGCTTCTTTCCTCTGACAGATAATGTTACCCCAACGAAGCATGCTATCGTTCAAACCTTAGTGCATCTCCAAAACCCTAAGAAAGCTGCAAAGGCCTGTTGTGTTCCTACCAAGCTTGATCCCATTTCCATTCTCTACAAAGATGATGCTGGGGTGCCCACATTGAAATATAACTATGAGGGGATGAAAGTAGCAGAATGTGGCTGCAGGTAGTACAGGGCAGCAACTTTGAGAGTGAGAACACAAACCTTTCTCCTCTTTTGTAAATCTGTACATTAATGGTGTAAATGTAAATACATGCATGCAAACAGTCTTTTGAAAAAAACAAATGCTTTACCTAATTATATTAATTGTAAATAAATTGCATATATCATGGTACAATTAATACTGGATTAAATCCTATGAGATTGATAGTCCAATACATTATTTAATAATAGATAACACTCCATCCTGCGTAATCTAAACATAATGTTTTGCTAATTCATTTAAATGCTCTGGTTGCAAACTAGAGGATTCTCAAAGCAGCCTCTAGAATTTGGATGCCCAACAGAATTTAATAGGAATTAATGATCTAAATACCTTATGTAGGATGAACAATCTATCATGGAATAAAAGGAAACTAAGCTTTACTGTGCTCTTTGGTAATTGCCATTTGCACATTTTTTTCCTATCAATAGCTTAGTCCTCAGTGAAACTACCGTGTTTTCACTTCTATTTCACACAAGATAAGGCCATGCATGTAGGCACATAATACATAAAATGACTCTGCCTTCTTCAAACCAATGGTAAATTGTTTGTATGTCTATACCTTTAGTTAACTTTGGAAAACTCACTTCTTATAGAACTCAAAGAATTAAGCACAACTGGATGGTAAACTAGATGCTGCAAGCCCTTATTCCTAAACCAGGACTTTCAAGACGTTTTAGTATACATGACTTACAACCATGAGCAAAGGTTTGTCACATTCCAGCTGAGTGTTTCAAGTCTTAATTATTTCCAGTGTTTCCTTGTGTGTGTGGCAGGTGCTTTTGTTGTAGCTTTCTTATCCGCATTGTCCCTATTTTTACCGCTTTATGGCACATACTTGAACGATAAGAAGTGCAGCCTTCCGCCTTTAAGACACCATTTCCTCTGAAGAACTGCATCCCTTATCTCCAAACAGAGATAAAGAGCCATTTTGACCTACTGTACATTCTTAGTATTTCTTCAGAAGAATATGCAGTCAAACAATGTTCATAATTAGAAGCTGCATCCTGCTCCCACTGATTCCGCAGGGAGCTGTTGGGTACTCAGCAGTTTTGAAAAAAAGATTTTTATGTTGGTGGCTAAATGTGTGCTGAGGGGTCTAACTTCAGGTTCCCAGCTTTCAAAAACATTTGTTAGTGAGAAATATTACTTTTCATGCCTAAATATACTCCCTGCTCTAACTGGAAGCTTAGCAATAACTGAAAAACCTTAGCTATATTTGTTGAGATATAGTAGTGGGGGTGATGGTATCATTGTATGTTCCTTCAGTTGATAGGTTTTACTTTCATTAATCAGGGACTTAATCCTGAAGTCTTTAGTCAATTTGAATTCCTTTTGATTTCAGTGAGGGTTTTGCCTAAATAAAACCTACTTAAAGCCTTGTTAATTCAGCTCCAGGTGATTGGTCTAAGTCAGTGATTCTCACTCAGCAAGCTACAACACCTGGGAGTGCCTTGAGATCCTTTCAAGGGCGGTGTAGGGTACAACATGGTGTTAGCACTTTTAGGTGTGCAAACATGAATCATAAGATAAATCCAGAGTCTTTAAATTGGAATCCATGCTGTCAGTACCATTCTGACATGTCCTGCTTTTTCTGTGTTCTTTGCAACAGAAGAATTGCTCTCTTATTTTTATATAGTAAAAAGACAAGTGAAAACCAAGAGCTGGCATTTTCCAAAGGTTGCCCTGAATCTATCAAGGGGACCCTTAAGTCTCAAAAGTTTGAGAACCATTAGTCTATTTACCTCACATGACAGCCATGATTTCCCGTTTCTTTTTCTTATGCAAAGTCTCCAACCAAAGTCCCATCATATAAAATGTCATGCCTAAACTGATTAACAGTACGGCTGTGTGAAGCTTCAGTCCCCAATTCGATTCGGCGGAGATTCGGCCCAATTTGGTGGCCGAATCTCTGACTCTGAATTGAATCAGAAGACCCTTTAATCTCTCCGAATTGATTTGGAACCCTCTGAATCAATTCAGACAGATTCAGCGATTCAAACATAGATACCGCTTTAAATGCTTTTTCTGCATACCTCTAGGTAGCAGGGGCTCTGAACGCTACAATGATGGGGCAGATGCAGCGTCCCACAGAAGCAGGGTGTGTTCAGCAGCAGACCTGGAAGTAGACCAGAAACACTTCCGGTCCACTTCCAGGTCCATTGGGGAGCACGTAGGGCCCCCCCTCCCCATCTCCCTGGCTCGGCGACTGGTGCCAGCTTGGTCTGGGGGAAGGGGCACCCGGGGTCCCCCTGCGGCCAATTGCCGAGCCAGGGAGCATGCGGGGGGGCCCCCCTGCATGCTCCCCAGCAGACCCAGAAGTGGACTGAAAGTACTTCTGGTCCACTTCTGGGTGCGCTGCCAAGCACACTGGAGAGCCCCCAGCACCTCAGTGATCACGAGCCGTGCCTGCTACCTCAAAGTATGATTCGCCAAATCAGCATTGAATCTTCAGATTCAGCCAAATCAAATCGGGGACAGTGATCCGAATCAATGGATCGAATCACTGTCCCTGATTCGGGTTGAACCCGAATCCAAATCGAAAAGCGTCCGTTTCGCACAGCCCTAATTGATAGACTAGCTATCTGTTCAAAACGATCCATATAATTGATGAGGCAAGAATCTAAATGGTAGCTCAATGTACAGCAAGCAACGTGATTTAAATGGGTACATGTGTTTTAAATTAGGGCCGCCTGTGGGCAAGATCAATTCATTTGGCACAAACCATTCAGCTATGAAGTCTAATACACAGTTTATTTACTATTGTTAATATAGAGCAAGTAGCAGGCAACCAAGAGTGAAGCAGTTATAATGCTATCAAAAGCTTCAGGTGACATCATAAGCCATGAAAACAAAGCTCAATTCACTGGAATCCTGAGACTGAATTATAGTCCTTTTCATTCAGAATTGGCCTGCACAAACCTAAATTAAATATCTGCATCCACCCATGTCCCATGATCCACTTTCCACTGCTGTTTCCCCCAACCTCACTAAGTTGCTACTGATGTTTCCTTCCAGTTCTACTCCTTGTGTTCTCTACTCTTTACCTTTGTGTCTTGATATTTCTTCTACTCATTATTACTGTTCCCTTTTCTCTCAGTGTCCAGTGTTCCCACTGCCTCTGCTTCCCTACTGTCTCCTGTGCTCCAGATCATTATCACAGCCTCCCCTTCCTGTGGGCATAAAGAAAGAAGTGGAGTGCTCACATTACCAGAAAATGTGTTTAGTGACTTGTGAAGGTGATAGTACCTCAGAGCATCCATTCATTTCACATAGAAGGCCTGATTCTGTTCCTATAGGGTTTCAGTGAGAACAGGATTATGTTTATGATCAGCTGAAAGGGCAAATAACAGGAGCACCATCCTCCAGAAATTCACAGGGAGATACTCATAAACATCAACATTTCTTTCATGGGAACTTATGTTATATATTGATTTTTTTATTTAGAGAAAAGAGTGGTTTGGTAGTGCCTTTTATTGGACCAATTAAGTTGGAAGAGATGTTAGGCTAGCTCTGTGGCACAAAAAAACCCCTCTCTCGGGTCAGATTTGTATTTATACATTTATTCACTGTGAAGAAAGACAAAAAAGCATGTTTGGCCCAAAGATTCAGATTTCAACCACATTAGCAAAATTCCAGAGCAACACCACTGATCTCTTCAGACTTTCAGCACTATAATCAGTTCCATAAGAAATGTACAGAGCCTGATAATGGGCTCTAATAAGGCCGAAGTGATGCAATGCCACCTTCAAGTAGCTCTTTTGAGTTAACTGTAGATTCCCTGGGCATCAGAGAGCCCAAAGGTTACACACAGCTGCTATACATCCATCCAGTTGGAATGTAAGGGGAATACTCCAGCCATGTGTTGTTCTTCACATTAAACGTAAGGGAAGCTTGTGTTAAGCAAATAAAGGTTTATGCATAATATACCCACTGAGCAGCACAAATCCTGCTCCTAGCTGTAACAGGCAGCTCACTCTGTTTTGATCAGTATTTGGAACCATGCATTCCTAGGTAAGCAATGATGTTTTACATTCTCCATCCCCACCCCTTATATGACAATAGCAACTATTTCATATTCCTCATATCAGGGGCCCAGTATGGAGTCTAATGGCTCTGCCAGCTCTATGGCACTTGTGTATTCTCTATAACTTTCTGGCTGGTTTCTGCTGCCAGAAAACTCTTGAAGCAGCTTGAAAGGCTATGCAGAGGTGAGGATTTGAAACCACTGTTTAAACCCACTGTTCTAAATGTACAATGCTGAAGTCAAATTTAAAATATGCTTTATTAATATGCATCTCAGCCACTCCACTGTTATACTGTGGATAGATTTTTTTCGCACAGGCTCTAACCACAGGGAAAAATTTCTGTACATTTCATTGTTAAGCCAACAGAAGTCTTCAGTCTATTGTAATGTGTTAATTGGAGCTGGCTGCAAAATGGGAAGTGGCTCCACCAAAAAATGTTGACCTATTCTTAAAAACTGCAGGAAAACAACAACTCCATTCACATGAAAAAGCAAAGCTACACGTGCCTCTATGGCATTGTTGTTACTGTGCCATCATTTAGTACTTCCTTTGGAAAGTGCTAAAGGATGGCACAGTGCCATCTGTGCCGCGCAGTTATTTTTAGCAGCTACATCGCTGTAGCGACATGCTGTACCGAGGGTGTGAGTCACTACGGTGGCATAACTGCTGAGTCACAGGTTTTGCCCACTGACGCTGTGTCGCTATAGTGCGTTGCTACACTGATCACTGATCATTGGAATGAGCCTATATTCCCTTTTCCCCAACCTTTATCCTATGCCATAACCCACCACACAGGATTTGTAATATAATTACCCATGTGGGCAACACCAGCTGGTTACGACAGCTGAGGAAGTACCACTCCAATTTTGATCAATTTAACGACTGATAAAGTGCCAGTAACCTCACAGGGCTCTGTGCTGTCACATCAACATGGCACAC